TTAGTGCCACATAAATCAAAAGCTTTTGGTCTTCCTCTTTGATGTGTTCACTGTGAGTTTTCCCTTAGCAGYAACCGGGAAAGCTTGGGAAGTCCAGGAGGAGAGCAAGGCAGCAGAGAGAGCCTAGCAGGGAAAAGAGCCGGGCTGCAAACACCCGAGTGCCACAGGCATCTACCCACCACTCACTTGTTTTCTCATTTCAGAGACAGAAGTGACTGAAAGGAGTTCAGAGAAGATATATATATATACGTGTCTCTGTGCATATATACATACACATGTATATATATATGCATTCTGACTGCATATATATACATATATGGAAAGATGGTACTGAAGGGGCCAGTTTCAAACCCTGTCCTTGAGGGCAGAAACATGGTTAGGAGGGCTGTATTTCTCTCTTGGAGCTGGGTAGGGAGAGATTTTGCAATATATAATCTTGTTCTTTAGAAAGACACCCACAGGGAGTAGAGTCCACATCTTTARTGAAAAACCTGTGCTTTCCTTCTTTTGGCAAAGAAAAACTTATATCCAGATATATTATCATACATTTTTACAAAAATCAATTTCTATAATCCTGATAATTAAATAAAATTTTCCAAGTCCTCGGGGTTTGCAGTACCTGGGTAAGCACCATTGATGTTTCATTCACTGCGGGAGACAGGAAGCCAATGTTTGAGCCCAGACTCAGGTGACCTTCATTCCTGCCTTTCTAGCTGGTTGCCTCCAGGCAGCTCCCTGCTTCCTACCCAACGCATTCCCCTCTAAACTCACCCGTAGCTTCTAGAAAGGCCYGTTTGCTTTGGCGGAGCAGGTGCCGACACCAAGCTGTGAGCGYCAGCGTTTGGAGAGGCAGCCTTGGCCAGCACGTGGAAGCATCAGGAGCTGATGCACACGCAAAGACYCTTCCACTCTGCTGAGAAGGTTCAAGGGCTCCTAAACATTGCCCTGTATCTCCATATGAAAGCAGACACAAGCAGCCTTTTCCCTTGCAAGGGCCAAGCGCAGTTTTTGATGACTGCACCTGCCTTAATGACTTTACAAAGAACTATCAATATAGCTTTGTCTTCTCTACACAGGAACTRGCTATTATGTCACCTAGCACACTGACATGGTAAGAAACCCCATGCACTACCAAAGACTTGTCTTCTCCAAGGCTTTCGTTGGCAAGAGTTGGTGTAACACTGTTGCAGTGCATCCTGCCGTAGAAAAATCCCTGGGCTTCCTTCCCAACCAGCTACAGGACACGGCAGAACATCCATCACTGTTGTCTGAGATGGAGAAAAAGCAGGACCACGGTGAGGTGAAGTTCACCTTATTTATGAATGAAAGAAATAAAGGCTTTTCCTGGAATAAGGTCTTTTTGAGTTTTATAACCAAGCAAACACTTAGAAAATGCAGCCCTCCCCACGTCACATTTGGAAAGGCAGCACACACGTGTTTGACCCGGGTTTGACAGCACACAGGCTGCTGGGGAGCACCAGCGCTCAGGGCCAGGCCTGCACGGTCCCCACGTCCATGGCCCGTGTCCAACGYGTGGGGCAGGTGCAGGAGAGGCAGCCTGAGCCACCGGACACCGTGTTCTCCCACCTGAACATACCCTGGCAAACACAGACAAGCTGTTAGTTACTGCGGACAACCAGCAAAGGATTTTAACATCCAGATTAATTCGTATCAGTGGCAGAATTCTGTCACTTCAAACCCTGTGTGTTTCTCTGAGGAGTTTTTCTCCCGAGTCCCTTTCACAAAAGGGTCTATGGACAGATTCTTGGCACAGAATGAATAATTAAAAGAAAAAAGTCATAAAAGATATAGGCTTGGCACTAAATTTAAGTAATATTACATGCAGCAGCCTTCCCCAGTGCAGACTCACCACCACTTATCGCTCTCCTTACAGCAGGGAATCAAAGACGCACCTGAAGCTGCTGGTGTCCACGAGCACCTCAGGTAGAGGAGCTCTCTGAGCCCCTCCAGCCCTCACATTATCCCRTCCTCAGCAAGTTTAGACTGCAGGGAGCGACTTCCTCGAGGATTCCTGTCCTTACACTGACCTATTATTCCTCCTGATGAGCCCCAGACCTCTGCAGGTTGCACCAATGTCCTCGGGTGGAAGACGCCTTTCCATGCCTGACTTTGCCAGATCTGGTTTGCTGCATTTACAGCTGGTCTCACAGTACTATAAMAGGGAAATTTAAGCATGAGACAACGCCAGGTAAATGCTCTTTAATGGTTATTACCAGTATAATTTAGCTGCARTTAGAATGAACAACAAGACAACAATTATACCCAAGAAATTAGTTTTTATTACAAATGTCTGGTAGTTTTTTCTTTTTTTTTACTTACTAGCCTAAATATACAAAATCGGAGGCAAACAAGAAAATGCTGTGTTACAACCTTATTGAAAGTTACCTTGTCAGTAGTTCTACTAGATTTGCTAAAAGCCTTGCTTTTCAAATATTTATTGCACTATCTGCTTTCCTTTACAGGGCTGCTCATTCACCAGGGGGATGTGTAGTCATTCGCTTTGATTTGCTTGTAGAAACAGAAGAAAATATAAATTGTATCATTCTTTTAATACAAACCCTCATTCTGTATTTTTTTATGAATTTCTGGAAGTATTCTTTGGTCACAAACTTCCTGCATCTACCCAAACTACTCAAAACAGCTGAAAATAGCTTCTAAGTGGCCCAACAGAGGCTTAATTTACTCCACTCTTCCAGGGTCTTCTCTCCTGTGTGTGTAACTCACAGCTCCATGTAGGAACATGCACAAAATTTGGTCAGTGTGYTTCTATGCAGACAGATCAAGAGTAAACAAAGGACGTCCCTCATCTTCTGATACCTTTGAATGTCAGATTGCAACAACTCCAGTCTAAAATGGTCTTTTACTGGAGTCCCTCTGAGTAGCTATTTAGTGTACCACATTGCAAAAAATGATATAAATATAAAAATTGTGATCGTTACAATACGCTGTATATTACACTGCAAAATGACATTATTCAAAGTCAATGTCTTTTTTTCTTTTTTGGGTGAGAAAAGTTTAGAAGGGCTAAGGGAAAAGAATGCTCCTAATGATGCCAATAAGAAGGCTGGATAGTGACACTTTGCTTAAAAGGCAGTCCAAAAGACAAGTTGGTTTCCCCTCCTAAAGATGATTTAAATCTTTCTATGTTTCCCATATTTGTTTTTGAATAYAAACAACAGAGTTCCTGAGAACAGAAAGTTCTCAGAAATAAATTTCAAATAAATAATGTTCYAATTAAGGGTGTTACCGCTGCTTTTTGCTGCATGATGGTTATAATCAAATGATAAGGCGCTTTGATTGTGCTCTTTTTTATTTGACATACTTCATTGCATAAACAAGAGTCGTAACACTACAAGGTGTATTTACCTTGCCTAAAGTAATTTTTATGGATCTTCCGTGTTATTTCTTTGTAAGGAATGACCACTGTTTCAAGAAGCGTAAAGAGAGTGGAGGATGAGGATGCTTTAATCATCACAATTGGCATTTATTGTTTCATTTTACAGGTTAGGGCGCGGCGTGCGCACAAACACACGCGCAGAGTGACGACGACAACAACGGCTGCAGGCAGCTCCAAAGCAAACTCTGGTCCCAGCAGGGCTGCAATCGGCTCAACTCTTTCATTTCTTTTCCCTTTTGCTTAAATTTTCTAATCCGACTCCGAAATCTGTTCCATTGGAATGGTCCATCTATGATGACAGTAAATGTTAAGGAGGTATGAGATGATTACTAACTTCCAGAAAAAACTCAACAGACGATGCCCATACAGTAGTCACCATTAACAAATGAACTGCTGAAGGTTGCAGGTAAAGATCTTTTCTGCTGTACTGTGTAAAAAAGTATGACTATGACAGTAAAGTTAATTACACAAAAGGCAACAATTGTAAAGATACCGAAAGAGAACCCAGAATAGACTGTTCAGGAAGCAGATCACATTTTCTGCTACATCTGAACTATTTCTTGTCATGTAATAAATTCTACCTGCTATATATAACACAACATGAACCAGAGAGAAAACCTGTAAAAAGATACTAAGAGTTTGATCCTGTATTTCTGATTCCCCCACATTTACCACAGAAACTACTGGAATTTTGAATGTTTAGTGACTTCAGGGCAGAACCCACAGAGCACTGCAACACATTGCTGCTTCTTCGTGCTTAAGCATTCAGTTGATTTTCTTTGGTTTTTAAATTACTATCCCATAATGTCTATAATGTGAAACAAAACCAAACCACCAATAACTCCCCCCAAGACAGTGATTAAAAAAAATTAAATGAACCAAAACCAAAAAAGAAAAAAACTAGAAAGTGTCGCTGTTACTTCATTATAAAACTATGGTGCAAAATAGGGTTTTCTACTGGTCAGAATTGCAATAGCAATTGGAAATTTACACTGTAGGAGTGACTGCAATTATTGCTTCTCCTGAATTATAGGAAATCAAAACTGACTAGGCACTTGTTTTCTTGTTTATTAAGAGATCATTCAGTGTGCGTAAGGACGACAGAAATACTCTCTAGAAGAGCTCTCTGCTCTGATCACTGCATTGCTCAACCACAGCCCCTGACTGAGGACAGCACAAGGCATGGGCCTAGCACAGAGTTTATGCTTAAATCTTACTGATCCGAACAGACTGGACACAGGTTCAGGTGCTGTCCTGAATCAGGATGCTTGTGGAAATTGGAGCTTTATAAGACAATATAGTGGTGAGCTTTGGTATCACGCTACAACTGCAATTTTATCTAATCTGGCTCTGCTCTCCACTATATTATCCTAATACTTCCTAATAAAAAAAAGTAAACAGGCATAAAATAAATAGTATAACCAAAGATTACATAATAAATATGCTACTAAATGGGAGGAAAATATATTGCAACATAAGGCTCTGCAGTGTTGCACAATCAAGAAATAGTTCCAGGTGCTCCAAAACATTCCTTCTAATGTACAACACAAAATTACCACTATACAGCTGAAAAAAAAAAAAAAAAAAGATTAGGAAGTAACAGACTGAACTTCTATTACATTAAACATCTGAAAAAGAATAAGTGGTAATGGGTTTTACTGCTTTGCAGAATACCATACGTATGCTCTTTCACTGCTCCAATTGCCATGGTTTGTGAAGGCAAATTTGAAAGGTTGCATTTGTTTTTTAAACTCTCAGAATTCCTTCAAGACTTAGCGATACCAGTGTCCCCCCGACTCCTGACATTATCTCTGCACGAAAGGAAAACACCCTCAGAAGTTCTGCTGTCTTCGTTTCTTCGCGTCCATCGCGTCGAGGATGGGCTGCCTCTTGGCAGTGTATCTCTGACGCAGCTCTTCGATCTCGCGCTCCATCATGGGGTCCAAAGCCTTTAATCTCATCTGTAATTCTTCTAAACTTAGATTCTTTAGCTGCAAATTAACCAACAACAAGAAAAAGGATAAAGATTAAAAAAAGGATTAAAATGATGTATTTACACTAACAGTAAAGCTCACCACCTTTCATAAGCATTTAATTTACATTTAAAAAGTTTACTTTTCTTTGTATGCTTATATATATATATATCCACACACACACACACACACACACACTGAATATATATACAAACTACATAACAAAAAGCACTAGTATGCACTATGGTAAATTTAATAGTGTAAGAACACAAACCAACTTGCTGTATATTAAAGATAAATTACTTTGTGATAAATTATCTTGTGAATAGATGGCAAATAAATAATAGCGAGGAGCTAAATTTATTTGTTTGAAAAAAAAACATGCTCTGGTACAGGCATAATTATATTTATAAACAAATAAATACAATTAATCAAAAAAAATTTACAGCACTTTAGTCTCCCACATAAGCATTAAGAAACAGACAACTGTCACACATAACATTCTGACAAATATCTCCAAGGACTTTCTGGTAAGAATGGCAAGGCACCTGCATTCTTCAATGGACTGCTGCCATAATCTGTCAAAGAAATTGCCAGAGGGCATAAAGAATATATTAAATAATTTCCTGAAATAACAAGGAGGTGTTAGTTTTGACCAAGCTCTTTTATTTCTAACAATATAGTTCATTACTTGCTGGTACAAAAATTAAAACGACTGYTTTTTAAAAAATAAACAGCCTCCCTTCCTTGCTGGCCGCTGCAAACAGCAGCGACTGGAATCTGGTCACACGATGGGGAACTTCAGGCGCTGTTGCCCCATCTGTCCTTGCATGGAAATGTCTAAATTTGAAATTTGCTCCTTTGATTGGCCTATGCATTTTTTCATAGGGAAATGTAGTGCTTCCTGCCTTTCTATTTCTTGTCAGGGATGCACCAGTTACTGAGTGTAGAATGAGTGTCAAGAAAGTGTGAAATAAATCAGTGCATTTCCAACAGTACTGGAATTTTCCCTGATCCATTTTCCCTGAGGAATGCAATACTACTTTGGAGCTATATTTTTATTAGCATCTGAGACAGAAGTTAGCAATCCATATTGCCACATCCAGTTCGAATACGGAGTTATGGCTGCYACTATTATACCTTGTACACTGTATACTATTATACATTGTACAAAGAGCAAAGTCAGAAGATAAGAGGGAGCGGCAATCAGAAATTCATGGAAGAGCAGATGGAAAAAAGATGCTAATTTTCCTGCAATGTGATTTTAATAATGACATTCCTATGAAGAGGCAAATTAAGGGGAAAATATCTAATTGAGGCAAAATCTGCTTGTAATTAATTCTACAAGGGCACCCCGCGGCAGGAAACGTGCCTCGTTCTGCGATTCCATTGGAAGGAATCAGGTGAGGACGGTTACGGTCCCACAGCCAAGTGCAACTGCCCTTGTGCTGGGCAATCAAATCCAGAAGTCAGGACACCTCCCAGGATGGAGAGCCTCATCCCAGTATTAGCTCCGGAGCAAACTCACACATGCCTGGTAGCTCACTGAGCAATATGTTTCTCCAAGGACAAATGGCAAGTTTGGCTTCCCAGCAGGGAAGGAGCTGCCTCCCAAATAATTAAATAACCCCTAGTCTGGTACTGTTCTCACATTTGATAAATGCAAGAATGGACTGGGGAAAAGAAACACAATTCCTTAGTCACCAAGACTCTTACAGGAAAAAAAAAATCTTTCTGTTTTCAGAGAAAGAAAAGGAAAAATCATTTTCTTTCATTTTTAGCCAACTGTTAAATATAACTGGAACGTTAAAGRCCTGTTTCACTGAAGATATTCTTTAGGAGGGACTTGCAGTATCATGGGACAAGAGCAGATTCCCCAGTTCAACCAATTCCAAAGCAACACAGCTGAGARGAGCAATAAAATCCTGCTTTCCAGCATGCATTTGGGGCACTATGGACTAGGACTAGCAAATGGACTAACAAAGGCACCACGAATGTGTACACCCCTATGTTATTAGTTATTAGCTGCTCTCTGGCTGGGCCAGACCACCTACCAGCTTGAGCAGCCAGGTATCCCCTCTGAATCCCTGCCAAAGACATCAGGATTGAACTACACACGGCAGGTTCAATCTCGTGCAATCACATCATTATTCTGTGTTGACATCACATTCTGTACAGATTGTCAGGCAGGAACGCACTGGTGAATTTTTATTTAAATTTCAATCAAGAAACAGAGAGAGCAAATAGGATCACGTATTCYTTCAAGAGCACAGTCAGTTCGAGTGGAAATTAAAAAGACTAAATTTTTAAATCCAGAAAATAAGAAYCTTTCAGAACGATTTCAGTCACGGCACGCAGGAGACCTAACCGTAATGCTCAGGTGTATGGATGCTTGTTGCTTGGATCATCCAAAGGAAGTAAATCCCTGAAACACGGAACTTAAGAAACTGAGAGCTACAAATGCCTCATCTGCCTGACATCAGAGGTTGGATTAAATAGGAGAGGCCATAGCCCTCTGTGTACCACACAAAACCACTTCATCACATCCAAAAGCTGCAGATCATTCTGGGATGTGCCGCTGTGGCCCCCTCCATGGCAGCTTCAAAGTGCTTTTTCCTTGACTTCTATCCGCGTTGCTGCCATTTCCCAGTGAGCCCTAGAGGAGGCTAAAGCTCAAACGCTGAACAGCAGATCAAGATACAAAATGAGATGCAGCAAAGTAATTCAAGCAGCAAATGTAGYTATTCCTATGCATTTTATTCCTCTGAATATTTTTTTATTTAGATCTTAATTCTAACAAAAATAATTTTCAATTTTACAGGGTACAGATTTATTTAGCTAATCAGTAAATATTTTGATTCCAAGTCTAAAAGTAAGAAAGGCAGACACTCATTTATTTCCAACTGCAAATGGGTCACAACCTGCCATAAATAATTCCTCATGTAGTTTGCTGTTGTAACTATTAGGCCTACCAATGTTAATGGAAAGAGTGCACATTCAGCMGTGAAGGCTACAGGAAATCAGAAAGGCTTTGCATGATATTTTGACTGCTTTTTAAAAGATGTAATTAGCAGTTCTGTAATCAGGACAGAGTTACCCTAAGGATGGTTCAATTCTTGCCACCCAATATAATAGATATAGAGTCTTATCCTTTCTGAGATCAAACACCCGCAACCAAATACAAAACAATTAGTATCAGGATGAGCCACTCCAAGGCAGAGGCAGTTTTCAGGGAATGAAGTTTCTGGTAACAGCATTTGCTTCCCTGGGACCCTTAATGTCACCATGTAATCACACGGCTTTGGGAAAGCAACCGGCCTAATGAGAACCTGTAGCACCATGAATTTATCAGTTACATATTTCAATATATAATATCAGGAAACAGATGTGTCTCCCTGTTTCCCGTTTTACACACACAAAAAGCCTTCCAGGGTGGGTGYGCATACTCAGTTTTCCAGTAGAAGTAGTTAAGGATGTGGAGGAAAAACAAGTATTTATTTTCTMCTAAAAAGTACATTAACCTAATAACTGAGAAGAAAGCCACAAGGCTAAGGGAAAAAGAAGAAAAGAAAGCAAAGCCATCTCCAGAGCCAGATAACACTGAATAATGTCTTGTACACGTCAAAGGGTCCTCAAGTTTCAGCCAAACGGGTCAGAAAGGAGTTATTTTCCTCTGCCCTGCTGGCCCTGGACACAGGGACATGGCCTGTGGCGGGGTGGCTGAGGCAGCTCATGGCAGCGCAGGCCGAG